CACTCAGATCAACAGGGATGTCACAGGACACACTTTGTTTCACAATGTAAAGCAGCTGGAGCTGCTGAGGAGGAGGAGCCCCAGGGGCCTCTGGCTCCTGAGGAGACAAAGACAGAAGGTTCTCCAAGCTTTGGGGAGCTGGTGCCATCAGCAGGGACAGAGAGCCCGGTCCCTGCCCCACAGAGCCCCTCAGAAGGCAGCCAGGCCCTGCTGGGCACTGACCAGCAAATCACCCCTGAGATCGTGAGCGAGGCTGAGCTTGTGATGCAGGGATCTGAGCAGCAGCTGGAGGAACAGGGAGCCATGGAAGAAAGCACAGCTGCAGAAATGCAAGAAAGAGCAGCAGAGACACAGAGCCCAGTCCCTGCCCCCCAGAGCCCCTCAGAGGGCAGCCAGGCCCCACTGGGCACTGACCAGCAAATCACCCCTGAGATCCTGAGTGAGGCTGAGCTTGTGGTCCAGGGATCCAGCCAGGAAGTGGAAGAACAGGGAGACCTGGAACAAAGCACAGCTGCAGGAACACAAGAAACAGCTGCAGGGATAGAGAGCCCAGTCCCTGCCCCACAGAGCCCCTCAGAGGGCAGCCAGGCCCTGCTGGGCACTGACCAGCAAATCACCCCTGAGATCCTGAGTGAGGCTGAGCTTGTGGTCCAGGGATCTGAGCAGCAGCTGGAGGAACAGGGAGACCTGGAACAAGCCACGGATACGGAAACAGTAACAACATTTACAGCAGAAAGGGAAGGGAGCCTGGTCCCTGCCCTACAGAGCCCCTCAGAGGGCAGCCAGGCCCTGCTGGATACAGACCAGTCCAGCACCAGTGAAGTCCTGATCAAGGCTAAGCTTAAGGGATCCGGCCAGGAGCGGGAGGAACAGGAAGACCTGGAACAGACCTGGGATACTGAAACAATATCAACATTTACAGCAGAAAGGGAAGGGAGCCTGGTCCTGGCCCCACGGAGCCCCTGTAGCCCCTTCAGCCTCTCAGCTCCCAGCCTGGAAGCCCAGGCCCTCCGTGAGCAGCAGGAGGAGGCAGAGGTGGTTGGGGAGGGCCAAGATTGGAAATATTATGTTGACCAAGAGATTTTCCAATGGGAAGATGAGGAAGAGCAAGATCTGTCCCAAGAAGAAACCAAAACCTACCAGCAAGTGTCCCAAGGGGGAGAGCGCAGGGAGCAGGACCCGTCCCCTGGACCAGTCAAGAGCCACCAGGAACTGTCCGACTGGGACGAATACAGCGAGGAAGAGGAACCCCAAGGGGAAGTAAAGAGCTACCGAGAAGAGTCCGACTGGGAGGAAAACATCAAGCAAGAGCAGTCCCAGGGAAAAAAGAGAAGCTTCCAAGAAGTGTCCGACTGGGAAGAATGCAGCGAGGAAGAGCTGTCCCACAGAGGAGCGAAGAGCTACCAAGAGGTGTCCGATTGGGAAGAAAACATGGAGAAAGAGCAGTCCCGGGGAGAATCCAAGAGATGCCAAGAAGTGTCTGGCTGGGAAGAAAACATGGAGAAAGAGCAGTCCCAGGGAGAATCCAAGAGACGCCAAGAAGTATCCGACTGGGAAGACTACAGTGAGGAAGAGCTGTCCCACGGAGATGTGAAGAGCTACCAGGAAGCGTCAGACTGGGAAGAAAACATCAAGCAAGAGGGAGTCCAGAGAGAATCCAGGAGATGCCAGGAAGTGTCCGACTGGGAAGAATACATTGAGGAAGAGCAGTCCCGAGCAGAAGTGAAGAGCTACCAGGAAGTGTCGGACTGGGAAGAAAACCTCGAGCGAGAGCAGTCCCAAGAAGTGAAGAAGTACAAAGAAGTGGCTGACTGGGAAGAGCTGCCTGACAGCAAGGGAGGGCTGTCCCATGGAGAAGTGAAGATCTGCCAAGAACCATCGGACTGGGAAGAATCCAGCGAGGAAGAGCAGTTCCAGAGAAAAGTCAGTGCCTTCCAAAAACTGCTCAAGTGGGAAGAATCCAGCGAGGAAGAGCAATCCCATGGAAATGGCAGTAGCTACCCAGAACTGACCGAGTCGGAAGAAACCAGCATGGAAGGGCAGTTCCAAGAAAAATTCAGTGGCTTCCAAGAACTGCTGTCCGACTGGGAAGACTCCATTGCCGAAGAGCTTTCCCAAGACGAAGACTCCTTTGGCCAAGAGTTTTCTGACTGGGAAGTCTACAGACCCTCAATACTGTCCCGGTGGGAAGACGACAGTGACAGGGAGCTCACACTGCTGGACTGGGAACGCATGACCATCCGCAGCTTCGGGGTCAAGCCCTTGCGCCCTGAGGAGGACGAGTGGGAAGAACTGAGCTTCCTGGAGCTGTCCCAAGGACAAGGCACGGAACACAGGCTGGGAATCCTTGCAGAAGAGGGGCTCCCGATGCCCGTCCCTCGCGAGGCGTGGGCTGAGCGCCGGGTCTGTGCCTCCCCTCCCCGGCCGGCAGCCCAGACCCTCCAAAGGGCTGCAGCTCCTCCCGCCTTGGACAAGCAGGTGGCAAAGGCAGAGGCAGGGACATGGAGCCAGGGCCCTGCCCCAGAGCGGCCCTGCCGCCCCCCCAGCCCCTGCCCTCCCCAGCCGGAGGTCCGGGCCCCCCGAGGGGCTGCAGCTCCTCCCACCTTGCGCAAGCAGGTGGCAGAGGCAGCGACACAGACTTGGGTCCCCAGGAAACGTCCCTCTCGTTTCAGGCAGATGCTCAGGGCTCTGGGCAGGCTGTTCCGTGCCTGTGCGCCGGGACAGCTCGAGGATTAGGCCCCGCTCCAGCACCGGGCCAGGCCCAGACCCCTCTGCAATTCTTCCACAGAAAATGACTCTACCACCGACCTTTGACACTTACTCCAATTCTTGACGAGTCCTGCAGGGATGAGCAATGACAGGAGCTGTTGCTCCCACAACCTCCCTGCAGGACTGCTATATCCACGAGTATTCCTAAACAAACCGAAGATGGCTTTAGTATGTTCACTAATTTAATTCATTAAGCTGGTTAAGTAACTATAGTTGTCGTTAAGTATCCAGTATCTCTATCTCTTTAGTTCACATTTATAGTTAAATAAAGTCTATGTTAAATAAAATCGAAGTGTTGTCAGCAAATTGTCTCATTTACACCTTAATTTGGGCAGAGGCATCTCTCCCTAATGGGATCAGAACACATTGGCAGGGACACTTTCCACTAGCCCAGGTTGCTCCAAACCCATCCAACCTGGCCTTGGACACTTCCAGGGATCCAGGG